CGGCGGCGGACGCCAACGAGATGAAGTACCTGCCGCAGCACCACCACCATCACAACCACCACATGGCGAGCTCGCCGTCGCCTGGCGGACACGCGGCCGTCTCGCTTTCCGCCGCCAATCCTTGGGTGAGCCTGCAGCCGGGCGCCGACCCTTGGGCCGCCTCCATGGCCGGCATGCACCACCACCATCACCACCCGCACCAGGACGTCAAGCCGCTGCAGCAAGACATGATGCACCACCGCCAGCAGCAGCAGCAGAGCATGGGCTCCCCGCACTGGCATGCCCCTGTCTCTTCGGCCCATTACAATCCGGCAGGCGCCGGTTCACCCCTTCAACAATACCATGCCGCCATGAACGGCATGCTGGCGCACCACCAAGGCGCCCCCCAGCTTCACCACCCTCTTCATCGGGACATGCAAAGCCCGCATCATCCCCAACACTCGGATCGCGATGTGAGCGGCGGCGAGGACGAAACCCCCACGAGCGACGACCTGGAGGCCTTCGCCAAGCAGTTCAAACAACGTCGCATCAAACTCGGATTTACGCAAGCAGATGTCGGACTAGCCCTCGGCACCCTCTACGGCAACGTTTTCTCCCAAACCACGATATGCCGATTCGAAGCGTTACAATTAAGTTTTAAAAATATGTGTAAATTGAAACCGCTGTTACAAAAGTGGCTCGAGGAGGCCGATTCGACGACCGGCTCTCCGACGTCCATTGATAAAATCGCTGCACAGGGCCGCAAACGGAAAAAGCGAACTAGCATCGAAGTCTCTGTGAAAGGCGCCCTCGAGCAGCACTTCCACAAACAGCCAAAACCGTCAGCTCAAGAAATATCGAGTTTGGCCGATAGTCTCCAATTGGAAAAGGAAGTAGTGAGAGTGTGGTTTTGCAATCGGCGGCAGAAGGAAAAAAGGATGACGCCTCCAAACACCCTCGGAAACGAGATGATGGAGGGAATGCCGCCGGGAAGTCACATGCACCCCGGTTACGGCCACCACCCGGACATGCATGGGTCGCCCATGGGCCAGCACTCGCATTCCCACAGTCCTCCCATGTTATCTCCCCAAGGCATGGGCCATCAACTCACGGCGCACTAGCATCCAGCCCACTGGGCCTCCCTATTGCACCACAGCGATAACGGCTAGTGATTGTATTTTATTAATAGAACGCCGCCCCCAAAATACAGTGTGAAAATAAGAATACAAATTGCTGAAAGAAATGATGAAATTGCCGACGGCGCGTGACTGACTGTTCCGTTTGTTATCAACGCTACCTCAAAGGATTCGTGTTAAACTCCTGCCGTCGCGGAGGTCCTAGTGGACTGTCTCAAAAACTAGTTTCTACTGTCTTATTATTAATTTTTCTGTTGTTAATACGCCGTGCAGTGCGAGTGAGTACCTTGTCATCGTCATAAACTGGACTTGTTTGTATATTACCTGTAAATAAGAGAGTGATACGCGTCTCAAGACGTGAGTGTAATATAATAATAGGCGAATGCTGCTAATTTTACGTTTTTGTAAATAAGAAGAATCGACTACTGTTGGGAGCAGTAGCAAGTCGTGATTTATACTTAAAAAAATATACACCGGGACGGTTGACGAATAAAACAATTTACAATGTAAGTTTATAATGTATAGAATGTCGTATATATTTAAAAAATATAAAGTTGTTCTTATGTTGTTTATTAAAGTTTTTTGGTTAGTGTCGTGCGATCCAGTTGAACTCTCTTTGACTTTTATTTTTGGATAATAACGAAATGAGAAATTCATTCAAACGAATCGGAACCGTACTCTTGTCTCTTTGGTCATAGATTCATGTGTACATATTTATTATTATAATTATAATTAATTATATATCGTTGTACGGTGTGACTAAATTAAAACGAAAAATGTTTTTAAAATAGCCCTCTCTGCTGTATTATTTCAATCGTACCCTCGTTTTTTCGCTTCATCATTCATTTCTAGTCAGTGTTAAATTCAAGAAAAAAAAGAAAATTAAAAGTACATTGTGTTGTGGTGCGACGGATCGTTTCATACCTCTCGGGGTGAGTTTTGTTTTCGAAAAGTTCATTTTAACCCTCGCAAGAAGTATGAATTGACATTTGACCGGAGGTACGGCGATTATCTTTGAATCCCATGTTGAGCACTTTATCAAATATTTCTCAGACACATGTGACAAACACGACCCATAAATATGCTAAATTATATGACAGTGGTGTGTGTTAATCAACGAAATTTCTGCTATGTAGAAACACGTTCAGTTATACGGTCTCGAAACCAGTTTAAGCAGTTATTTGGGAAAAAATAACCATTTAAAACGACCATTATTAGTTGAGTTGATAGCTAATGGACATAAATTTCATCAAAAAACCATAGAATAACGCAATCCCCGTAGAGATTCGTTTCCAAATTGATATTCCGTACGTCTCGATAGTTCCTCCAGAAATTTTCGTTTCGAAAAACAACTATGTATAAAAACTGTTTTTGTAAAAAACAATGTTTACTGTACTATAGAGAGAGAGGATATTTGTGTATATTGTATTTTTATCAATGTCCAAAAATAAAAATCAATAAAATTAGACACTGTTTATAAGTTGCTTCTTTTATTTTTCTTCAACAACCTTGTAATTGGCTCATTATTAATCACGGCGCCCTTATGCCCGTCGAGATTTCAATCAATCCGACCCACATGTCGCTGAAAAAACTTTTCACACTTGGCTGTTAGTTCGAGCGGCGATATCAGATGGCGCCCTCATACCAAATAGCACGCCCTTTGAAGGTAAGTAAATCAAACAAATATTTACGCAAATATCGATGGCATTGTGTTTAAAATTCACTTCTGAATTCATTATAATCTCATTTAAATAATTTAGCGTCAATCAAAAATCGGACGCCGGCGGCCACTCGGCCCTACAAAGGTGCAACCAAATTGCGGCTTTTTATTGTAACAGCAAGGGCGAGGGAAAAATCGAACGCATTTGCATAATTGCGAGTGTTGTTGGAATGTTTTCTGGATCTTTGTATCGATGTTTGCTCGACGAATTAGTAAATTGTTTGGATGTTGTCATTGTTTTTAATAAGCAAAATCAAATAATCTGAATGCAGAACTTAGATCTTTGATTTTACGACTGCGTTTAATACATTTTTGCCAATTTTACGACTCTTGTGGGAATTTAAAGTCGCCGGTTTGGATGTATTTTGTTTATTGTCAGGTCTTGGAGTGGGCGTGAGTGTAAATTGCACACTGTATGCTATAAGAAACACTGTATATTTTCTTGAAACAATGAAATACTACAGTTTGTGTAATTTGTTGTCAAGTATAAAAATCAAAGAAAGTATAAATGTCGTTTTTGGTAATTCCTTAGATAAATATTTGCACTTTTTTTGAGCTGTTTGCCATATAAACTCCACTCGCATGGACACTTGTAGCTGCAATTAATTATAAAATAATATTTAATTAACGAAATTTCAATTACGACAATTTGTACGCATTTGGCGAGGAAAAAATTACAATTTATCAAGAGAAGCTTGCTATTAAATGGTCCAAATAATTTTTAGTAAGACAAAAAAACAAACTATAAGTTAGTTTAAAAATTGAAAAAATTTAAACTAAGATTGCTCGTATATTATTTTGTAATTTAATGTCTTACATTATTTGAAATTTACTACTGAATTTATGTACTTGAAATACATAATATTTCTCAATGGTATTTTTCTTAATTTGAAAAAATCAGCTACTATAAAATTTAAATTAATTGAATTGTGAACACTGTAAATAAATGACTTTAATCTGATCGTAAAATGAAAATGAATTTGATTCAATTAAATAAAATTTGCTTTAATTTGTTTAACAGATGTAAATTGTACCTACATGGTTCGATAATATACTCTGAGTTTTAAAGAAATAAAAAATGGAATTATGTACCTACAATATGTATTATTTGTAAAATGATTTAAATCAATCGAGTGAATTTTTCTTGACGGCACTTTATTTTTGTACATTTAATTTAATTGATTTTTAAACTATGAATGTATAATTAAATCTTTGACAATTACCTACTTGTCATAAATCACAAAATCGTAAATTGCTTAAGCAAAGTATAAGTATCGCTTAAAAGCGTTAATTTATTGAATTTTTTTACAAAAAGTTGTAGAACAAGCTGTTTTTACTTCTACGAAAAATGCAAGTTCTGGCTATATTTTAAAAATAAAAATTAAAAGTTTACNAAAAGTTTACCGATTCCTTATAGTATTAAAAGTTTTTTTGTAAAAATTATTATGTATTTTTAATTGTTTTTATTTATTTTCAGAATTATAACATTAAAACGGAGATATTGATTGCTATGCTTGAACAAAATGTTTAAATTGAAGTTTAATACCTATAATATTATTCATATTTTTTTGTCCAAACGTAAGTTGAAGAAATTGAACTTTAATTCTAGATGGATTTAATTTATTTTCATTATTCAACACTAATTGAAACAAATTAAAACAGTGAAACTAAATATTTATATTCCAAATTGAATCAGTTACGATTTAGCTATTGTAATAGGAGAAAATTTTAGATAGTATAGCCACTTTAGCTTTCCATTTGATGCAATCAGAAAATTTTTATTAACCATTAAAAACACAAAAGACATTTATGTTTTAACGGCAAAAACTCTAGCTAATAATAGTATATCATTGGCAGATGTTGGTAAATAAAATTTATGCCTGAGAATCCAATAAAATGACAGAAGCTCATCATAAATACACTTTAAAACTTTGCAATTGCAAAAACGTTTTTTTGTAAAATTTTAACGGAACATCTGTGCACACGTGTCAAACGTGATATAATGTGCGTTTTTCTAAAATATTCTTTTAATTTATGGGTTGAGTGAAAAAGCCGTAAAATGAATAATTATTGCTTTGATGGGACAAATGTCGAAGTAGCTCACCGCGATTTAACGGCCGCCATTTGAATAAAATTCTCTTTAAAAATCGATAAATCACGTAAGAAGGTCGCGAAATGTTCAATGATATCTTTGATGTTTCTTCACTCGTGCAGACATGTGTTTCATGTCGAAAGATTCCGTTGTTAATTTATTAGTTTGCGTAATTTTCGTCCCGATCACCGGCGGTAATTGGCGGTTCTTGACGAGATAATGGCTGCATAATTCGTTTATGAAACTTCTAAGGCCCACGATTCGGATCATCATGAAAATGGCCAATCGAGAAATTTGCATCAATTGTCTGGGAATGATCGAACAATGCGCTCGTACCGACAGGCATTAGACAATTATTCCAGTCTTTAGGCTATATCAATTATATTTGAAGAATTCCAGACGGGAGTTGATTCTTTTTTTTGACGCAATTTCGCCGTCTGTGCATTGCATTACACAAATATTTTGATTATGGTTGCCCCATTCGACAATAATGGGAAATTATAAAATTAAATTAGGCACCCTTGACTCGACGTTATAATAGCTGCAACATACCGCAGCGTACCACGAAGAGGTTGCAGCGAATTCGGACGTTTGACTCCGGTTCTTCAGCTTGGTGAGTGCTGGAAACTGAGTGTGGTAGTGGAGGGCGAGTCACACTCGGATTCTTTCATGCGTGTAACAGTAATAGGCCATTAGATGTTTATTAAATGACTAAATGAAGACTGAAAGACCCTGATGGTATTAGATGGATTTGATTTTGTCAGATCGAGCTTTTGATTTCGTTCAGTTAAAAGTCGATTTGTTTGATTTCGAGTATTGGGGTTTTCGAGGGCCCGGAGCGTGGCAGACCACTATAATTTACAGTTTAAAATGATATTAAGCAATTGTCAAAAAAGTTACACATTGTTACACATTAATGTAATTAAAATTCTTCAAAGGATTTAAAATGAAATAAAAAAAATACTAAACTTTTTGAGATTAGTTCCAGTTTGTTGATTGATAATTACCTATTTATTAACAAATGACATAAATAATAATAATAGGAAATTAGTCTACCTACTTTTGAATAGGTAAAAGTATTAAAAATATTTTTTTATCATTGGTTGCTTTTGTTTTTACATAATAATTTATATAAAAAATTATGTAATATACAACATATTTAGAAATAATAATTATTATATTAGTTTGGATACACATTGAAATATAATTAGCAGAGTGGAACAACAAAGTTATAAAATGTCTGGAATATTTTTTTCAATAATTATAAAATATTTCTCTGAAAACGTGTTTTAAAAAACTAAAAAAAACATAAACTTATTTCTATTGCCAGAAATCTGTATTATAGTAATTAAGTTTACAAATAATTGTTTAGCATGTGCTGTTCAAAGGCAAGAAATTCAGAAAAACTAATTAAAAAAAATATTTGATTAAGGGTAGGTATCTAGAAAAATAGAAAAGAGCGAAATTCTTAAAAACTAAATACAAAAATATCTTCTGCTGTTAAATGAATTGAATAAGACAAAAAAAGCCAAGTAAAAGGGTTTATATTTTTATTGTTATTGTTTAACTGGATTTTAATTAACAATTTTGATAATGTGAGTAGGTAAGAATGTCACAGTTGTTTCTAATAAATTAAGAAATTATTTAGGAGTATTTACTACAGGGTGTTTCACGTAATTTTACGAGGCCTAATCTTCTCTACTTTGTTCACCCTTTAAAAAATTACAATGTTTTTTGTTAGTTAGTTATTAAGATAGATAAACTAGAATCATATTTATGCCATCTCGTGATAAAACAAATGATAATTGTTTCTGAAAAACTGCAGTTTATGACTATTAATGAAACAGTGATTAGTTTGACAACTACTGTCATGGGTTTCCAAAAATTAAATAATTTAATGTGTATTTTTTGTATCTAGTGTTTTGTGACTTTTGTATATTTGGGTGCGTACATTAGGGGCAACACCCTGTACATAGCTAAATATTTAAAAATTTTGTTGATTGTAGGTAGTTAACAATAAATACAACAAAATATTGATAAAGCAAAAACTATCATAATATAAAAAATGGTTAATTTAGAAATCTAAACGATTTATACCTATTTTTCGTATTTTTTAATAGCTCGGTTTTTTGACAATTTAAACTTTTAAATATTGACATTTTCATAACTTAAAAAAAATTAATCTCGTAGGTATTTTAATATGACGGAAAAAGTTGTATGTAGCACATGCTGTTAAGAGAGCTATAACAAACGAGGGAGAACCTTAATTAACAGCACGTAGTGAGTACATCGTTTTTCGTCGTGCTAATTTACCATATTTAAAAATTTTAATTTTCAATTCAATCATTGAATAAAGATATTTCTAATTGTTTCTTTTTTTTTCACTAAATTGAAAATTATTAATCTTTGAGATTTGTGATGGTAGGTAGTTGTAATATTTTCACCGTTGTTTCATACATGAATTATTTCAACTAAGTTATCTAAATCTTCACAGGCATTTTTGTTTAAATTTTTTAAATGATTTATGTGTCATTTTGTTACTTTTTCTATTTGTAAGTTTGTTGGTATTTTCTAAAGAATTCTACAAATGACACTGCCCACATATCTACCAACAAGAGATTATTTTTAAAGAAACCCAGATAAGTCCGTACAAAAAAAACTCAAAGTA